ACTCTTCCAGGAGTGATTTCCCCTCCTAGGGAATCTCACTTCCTGTCGTTTCACCCCCGTTCATGAGTCATTTGTAAGACGGATGTTCATAACTTGGGGGCTGCCTATACAGTAATATGAGCACACTTAATGAATTGTGTACTACCTAAGAGTCACCAGGAAATTCATTCACAATTTCCAGTTTTGAAAATGGCAAGTTTGACTGGTACATACCATTTTAGAAACAGAACATTTGCTACTTTCATGGCGGCCAGGATCACTTTATAATACTAGTGAAAAACTACAATTACAATTCCAAAACCCATAGTAGTTATTATAAACACACACACACACACATATAGATAGGCTTCATTTCAGCTTTGCAGCCCCTCCTATTGAAATGATAACTAATTAATGAAAGTATCAAAAAATCAAACCAAAACAGCCACAGAGGACAGGCCAATTGGGATAGAAAGTAGTATAAACAGAGAGAAATGTATATTTGTGTATTTTAAGAAAACCTTAATAAAGAATATTTTTTTAAAAAAAAAACAGAGAGAAATGTTCTAGTACTGTACTGCTCTTGCTAACTTGTACTAATAGAGGAAGCTGGCAGACTCCTTCTCATTACTATAGACTGATGTTGTACAGTGCAAGACTCTTGTGCCATACAATTTTGTGTTTTGGGGTGGGGGGATATGTATATATAGATTGTCTGTTATGGTAAGTGCAACTTAAAAACTATTCCCGTCATCTCAACCCTCATCTCCAAAGTGGATCTTGCAACAGTTCTGGGGAGAAATATTCCAGACTGCACTTTTGTCAGTCTTCAGAGGCAAAGGATTACAAAACGCATCCAAGTTCAAGGAACAAGGCAGACTTGTTTCTGTTTGGGACGGTGAGGGGGGCAGGGGAAATCAAATAAAATAGGTAAATTAACAAGCTTCCCAAAATAATTCCTAAGACTTCTAGCTCACAATCAACTGACCTTACCATTAATACAAGACTAACTTTTGCACTCTACCTTTGCAAGATATAGGAGACTTCTTGCACAACATAATTATTGGATACATAAACCAGTGTGTAACAATACATTCTCTGCAATCTGTGCTCTCAGTAAAATTTCAGTATCATGACTTAAAAAAGACTGCAAATGGCATGAGAATTTTTGTCTAAGTTCGCACATACGATGATATATGCAGAAATGTCTGAAATCAGTTCCCCGTAAAATCTCTTATTCCAAATGAAAGAAAATGAAATACTTCCTTTCTGGAATTGAAACTTGAAGAAAAACCTGTCTTGGACTGCTGCACACAGCCAAATCAAATGTCAGCCAACACAGATCTACTGAAATAGGCTAGTTTAAATCTTAAAAATCAGGTTTAACTGGGATGCGGACCAAAAGCAAGAGATAGAGTACATAGATTCAGGAAGAAGTTGCTCAGTTTCACAAACATAATTTTGTTCATCCAGTTTCTGGTAAGCTATGTGCACATAAAAAAAGCAAAGTCCATTTGAACGCAAGGAAAGATGAAACTTAGGGCCCTTCCAGACAGGCCCAATATCCCAGGATCTGATCCCAGGTTTTCTGCTTTAAACTGGAGTATATGAGTCTGCAGTGACAGAGAATCTGGGATACACAGAAAACCTGGGATCAGATCCTGGGATTTAGGACCTGTCTGGAAGAGCCCATAGTGGGAGTTAAACTTTCAGATTCTTCTTTGGGCTATTGCCTTGATATTCTGGGTTATACTGCTGTGTGGAAGGGCCCTGAGAGTTGAGAACAAAAGCATGCTAGGAGTCGCCTAATGATACTTGGGAAGTGGAGTGGCAAAATTTAAAGTGGTGGCCCTAGGAGTTGCAACATAATAAGGTCCCTCAAAGGGCAGAATTTTGGGATAGCAGTGCCTACTACATTTCTATGTATTCACCTCACAAAACACAAACTATGCCACCTGGAAATGGCATCTCTCAAGAGAGATGAGATTCCAATATCCTAAATCCAGGATTGTCTGATCCAAAGTAAATCCCTAAAATGTGCACCTTGCCCTTCGATCCATTGGTTCAGAAGGAAGTCTTCTGGAACTCAAGTATGTATGGATTAATCAAGGCTGTTTCTGAGACAGCACATTATCAAAGCTCCCAAAGAACACAAAACTGTAAGTTATAAATATGCAAACATTCCTGATGTAAATAAAGGTATATCAACATATTTCAAAGTGTTATTTTGAATATTTATTTTCATGAAAGTACTTAAAATACTTATTATATATTTATATAACATGTAATATTACTAATAATATTACAATATAATGGTATATTTATTATTTCACAGTTTTGTATACCGAGCTTCTCAACCTCGTCAAGGGACTCAGCCCGGTTTACAGCCATAGTACAATATAGTAATATTTAATACTGATATTGTACTATGCTAATAATATAATATATTGTAAGCCGCTGAGTCCCCTTCAGGGTGAGGAGGGCGGCATATAAATGTCGTTAATAAATAAATAATGAATAAAACTATGATTGAGATTTGAAATGATATGAATACCTTAAGGAAACCACAACTCTGGCAAAAAACTTATCACAGAGTAGTTCATTTTGTTCTGTTAAAGGACCCTAAGAAATCAGAGGAGGGAAATAACTTTATAACACAAAAGATGATGAAGAAAGAAGGAAAGAGGAACAAATAACCTTCTAGAGCAGGCAAGGGAAAACTTCGGCCCTCCGGGTGTTTCGGACTCCAACTCCCACAATTCCTAACAGCCTACCGGCTATGGGAGTTGGAGTCCAAAACACCCAGAGGGCCTAAGTTTCCCCTTGCCTGCTCTAGAGGCATCATTAGATATTAAACACTGGTTGTATTGTGTCCCAGATCTGCGCTGCTACATTTCCTTATGGGTGGACAAAAGACATTTTGCAGGCTGAACACTAGGAGGTTGGCTCATTCCTCCTCTTCTTCCATAAGGTGAACTCAACATGGAACTGGATGATGAGATTGGACAACGTTTTAAATAGGAGACCCAAATGATTTATGTCTTGCTGATCTTGTTATGGTTTTATATTATATGTTAATGTTTTAAATGTTTTACTGGTGTTGTTGGCCATTGAATTGTTACCTCTGTAAACCACCTTGAGTCACCTGCAGGCTGAGATGGGCAGTATACAAATATCTATATAAATAAAAATGTAATGTCCGTTTGTGGGATTAACATAACTCAAAAACCACTGAACAAATTACCACCAAATTTGGCCACAAGACACCTACTAACCCAAGGAGGGACCATCACTCAAAAAATTGATTTGGGAATTGTAGTTGTTGGGGTTTATAGTTAACCTACAATCAAAGAGCATCCTAAACTCCACCAGTGATGGAATTGAACCAAACTTGGCACAAAGGACTCCCGTGACCAACAGAAAACACTGGAAGGGATTGGTGAGCATTGACCTTGAGTTTGGGAGTTGTAGTTCACCTACATCTAGAGAGCACTGTGGACTCAAAAAATGATGGATCTGGACAAACTTGGCACGAATATTCCATATGCCCAAATATGCACACAGACTGAGCTTGGGGAAAATAGACCTTGACATCTGGGAGTTGTAGTTACTGGGATTTATAGTTCACTTACAATCAAAGCACATTCTGAACCCCACCAACTACGGAATTGGGGCAAACTTCCCACACAGAACCCCCATGACCAACAGGAAATACTTAAGGCCACCTAGTCCAATTCCCTTCACCTGGGCAAGAAAACATAATCAAAGCCCTCCTGACAAAGAGCCATCTAGCCATAGATATGATTCACACACACACAGATATAGTCTAGATTTGAAAGGGACCCCCTAAAGAAGGACAATGATATGTTGCATGTTCCAGAGTAGGCAAACCAGACAAATCTCCACATCAATACTGATAAATAAACAGCAAAAAAAACACTTTTTACCCACAAGCATAAAGAAATTACATATATCAGAAACCAACACTTTCTAATTACTTTATTTCCCAGATCACCAGATGGTGCCACAGCAATGCGTGGCAGGGGACAGCTAGTAAGTTATATATATTCCTTTTTTCTTCCCTTTTTTTTCTTCCCCTCTGGAAATTTTTTATATACTTTTTTTCTTTCAACTTTCCTACTTTCCTATACACTTATATTGTTCCTCTTCTTTTACTGTATCACTATAACTTCTTTGAACAAAAATTACTTAAAATAAATAAATAAGTTGATAGCAGCCCTTTAACTTGGCTTTAAAATCCCCCTCTAGCCAACATCACAAACATTGAATACAAAGAAAGGGCCGTGTGTATATTTACAGCGCATGTCCTACATTAACAAAATAAACCTCAAACTTTGAAACTTCGAAAGCCTCGTGGCGGGGCCTTGGAGCAAAACAGAGGAGGCAATCAATGGGAACACAGAACCATAGAGTTGGAGGAGACCTCGTGGGCCATCCAGTCCAACCCCCTTCTGCAAAGAAGCAGGAAAATCGCATCCAAAGAATCATAGAGTTGGAAGAGATTTTGTGGGCTATCCAGTCCAACCTCCTCCTGCCAAGAAGCAGGAAAGTTGCATCCATAGAATCATAGAGTTGGAAGAGATTTTGTGGGCTATCCAGTCCAACCCCCTTCTGCCAAGAAGCAGGAAAATTGCATCCATAGAGTTGGAAGAAATCTCGTGGGCCAGCCAGTCCAACCCCATTCGGCCAAGAGGCAGGAAAATCGCATTCAAAACAACCCCAGCCTCTGCTTAAAAGCCTCCACCACACTCCGCGGCAGGGAGTTCCACTGTTTCCCAACAGGAAACGGTTTGTTTATTAGCAGTCTTTGGGAGGGAGATTGACCCACGCTTCACCAAAGCTGCAGAAGAAGGGGTTGGTTTTGGTGAAGTGGTGGCTTCCCTGCCCAGGAGGGGGAAACTTCTCCTCGGCGCACAAGAAACTTCCTAACTCGAAATACGAAAAAGGAGGGGTGGGGGAAAGCCACGGTTCAAACTTCCTTGTGATCTAATGTATATTACCTTGATACAGAACTGGACAGGAGGGCCCTCCGACATGTCTCCGCCGAGGAGGAGGAAGCACAGGCAGGAGGAAGGAAGAAAGAAAGAAGTTCTCGGCTGGCTTTCTCTCTCTTTTTCCCCCGCGCTGGCTGGCTTCCTCTTCCTGTTCCTCTTCCTCCCGGAAGGAAGCCTCCCCGCCTTGCCCTGCCCACCGCGGGCGGGCCAGCTATGCCCCACTTCCTCGGGCCCGCGCTTGCTTTTCCTGCGGGGGCGCCTTCCTCCCGGTGGCCTCCGGAGCCGAGGCGGGCATGGCCCCTTTGGGGGGTGGAGGGGGGCCCCCTCTTCCTCCTCCTGCCCGCCTTCCCGGGCCCCTGGATGGAGGGAAGGAGCGACAAGGGCGCCTCTTTCCCGGCAGAGAGAAAGCGAAAGGGCGCCTCTTTCCCGGCAGAGAGAAAGCGAAAGGGAGAGTTTCAGGGCTGAGGAAAAAAGTGACGTGAGTTCCCAGCACTGAGCTCTGCCTCTTAAAGGGGACGGAGGCACACCAGGAAATACGGAGAGAGAGAGAGAGGAAGGAGGGGGAGAAAGAACCAAGGAAGTGAATACAAGGGATATTCAGAGGAAACAGGAAGAAGAGGGGGAGGGGGAAGGAGGGAGGGAGGGAATGGGCAGTCACAAAAGCGGAAGGAGGGGGAGGGAGGGAGGGAAGGAGGAGAGGGCGCGCAGCCAGCGCTCCTCCCGCTTCCTGCCCTTCCTTCTTCCCTCTCCCCTCACTAGGAAAGGGGAAGCTGCTTCCTCCAGGCCGGGTGGGGGTGGGGCAGGCCTCTGCTGAGGGAAACGGGGAGACTGGCTGGCGGGGGGGGGGGGGGGGGTGCCTCATCCTGCCACAGCAAACAGGCGAGCCAATGAGGGGGCTTCTATGCCTGCTCGCGCGCCGAGTCTGGCTCGCGCTCTGCCCCCTTCAGGGGTTCCGACCAGGAACCGTGGATTCGGTTACACAAAGCGAGGTGGGGGCAAGGAAAGGGGGGGGGCAACGCGGCGGGGCCTCCCGCGCATGCGCAGTTCAGCCCAAAGCGGGGGCCAATGAAGTCACTGAGGAGTCTGTAAAAAAAGCGGGAAAGCTGTGTGCTTCTCTTCACAATGACACGGCTGCTCCCGAGCTCTGCACGGCTCGTGCTCTCGCTCTAGTACAGTGTTTCTCAACCTTCCTCATACAGTGGGTTGTTGTAGCTTTTTTCGGCCTATATAGCCATGCTCTAGAGCAGTGTTTCTCAACCTTCCTAGTGCCTCGACCCCTCAATCCAGTTCCTCATGTTGTGGTGACCCCCAACCATAACATTATTTTCATGGCTACTTTACAACTGTAATTTGGCTAAGGTAAAGGTAAAGGTTGTCCCCTGACA